GCTTCTTCACATCATCACATCAATGAGAATTGTTCACGGTGATAACCTCATTATTCCAAGTTCGAAGACAAACAATCGACGAATAAAGTCTACGCACCACAATTTTGCAAAAAAGCAGCTGTTATGAAGTAGTTGAGCAATAAAGAGCTAAAAGAAAACATCAAACAAAATTCTTGGTCCTACCTTCTTCGGTGACACTCCTCCTACGACTTTCGTGCCATAATCTATCATTTGTTGTCCATGAAATGTCCCTTGTTTTCCTGTGAAGCCCTGAAAGGTCTTGTTTATTTCTCACAGGCACGCTACTACGAACACAACTCTCCAGCGGTGGTGTTGAAGTGCTTAGGATCCATGTGCTTGACCAAAAATCCGAAACTCTCGCTTGAAATTTCCTATATTCCCAACAATGATAATCTCAAAAGTAGAGGTTGGCTGCACGGAGTGGAGAATGACAGTAAATGATAGAAACTGGTAGCACTAGGTCACACGTCGATCACGTAAGGCGCAGGTTGCTGGTGGGAATTCCCAGTAGAAGCATGAGCTCGCTCTTCTAAATTACCCAGCCTTCTGTAAGACAGTATTTAATTTCGCTTCACGAAGTCAATGATGAATAATGAAAGCTACAAATGGAAAAATGAAGAAGTAGAACGAACGCGCACTTTACGGTACGTACGTCTACAAAGGAACAGTAGTTGCAGCGACAGCCAGTGTTCAACAAAACTATACTGTAGGTCGTGCATACTGTATAAATAGAATCAGGTGACGATACTTCCACGGACAATTATACGTTAGTCACCCCTCTCACCATTTTACGATAACTTATGACCTCCCAAAGAAAAGTGAATAATTAGGGAGTCAGAGAGACATAGATCCACTCTCTTCCAGAGAGAAAAAAAAACTGTCGATATATGGAACAGAAAGGGTAGAAAGCATGAAACCCACCTGAATGATGACTTTTGTGTTTCTATTGATCATCAGGTTCTTTCGCGTATCATTGTACAAGGTTCTCATCAATGGTTTCGCCGCTTTTGCCAATGATGCCATTGCCTTCGGAAACAAGGCCATATAAAAAGTACACAAAATAGAAACGGCAAACGATTCGAGTCGCGACACAGAAGTTATAGAAGAGGCTAGAACGATTGTAGAATCATGCAAAAAATTATGCGCCTCGAGACAAAAAAAAAAGCACGTGGAAACGGTTCGCGTATTTGCGGACCACTCACAGCAACAAAGATTAGCGAACAGATCCCACCCGAAAGACCTACACAACTGCCTTTGCCGTTGGGAGCCGATAGTAAGTTTACATGTAGAACTACCCAGAAAGTGGTCAAATGAAACATCAATCTATTGACAACTCACCAGAAAGAAAGGATGAACCAAAAGCACCTTACCGAAGTTATCATGTTGTGAAAAATGATAAGAAAATCGACGATGAGCTGAACACGTTTAGATATGATCGAAAATAAACCAAGAATGTATCCCCATGCAAGAGGGAACTGTGGTGTGAGAACGTCGGAAGGCAGCTGGAATCTAATTGAAACCTCGGCTGGAAAATATGATTGAACGCATGAGGCTTATTCAGCAATAGAATCAGAAAAAACGAAATGCCGGAATCAAACGATCATAACTG